GATTTTCCATAAAATTCCTCTCACCCCCAATTTTTTTCTTAAAATTTCTCGCATTGGTTGTAAATTTGCATGCAGAAAAACAGCGTTTTTTCGGAGATTTTGTGATCAGAAGCCGAACTGCCGACAATAATTCCATACATTTTTGTTGGATGATTTGGAAGGGCTTTTTCTTGTTATACATGAAAAAAATTGGTTTTTTTCAAGTATAATTTTATTAAAAGTATGAATTTATTGGTGCATAAATTTTTTTTTTTGAATAATTTCAGAATGGGTTTGGCAATTTCACTGGTTTCGACACATCAGGAAAAAGTTTGGTACCATCAGTGCCCTTCGCGTGGTGTTAATTGTCATAATACAGCTTTAACAACACAGCGTGGTTGCGCAATATGGTATGATGAAACAAAGGTTTGTTGTTCATTTAAGAATTTTGGTACAATTTTTTCTGGTACAAAAACTTAAGAATAAGAACTTAAGAATAAGAATTATGGTGCAAAAATTTAAAAGTTCTGGTACTTATGAATAAGAATTCTGGTACAAAAACTTAATTTTTGCATGCATTTATTGGGCACCTATAAAAATCATGTTGCGGAAAACCCACGAAAAGCGAATAATGAAGCAAAAATGCGAATAAAAAGTATATATTTTCTATAGAAAGACAAACAAGGAAAAGTGTATGTTGCCGTGAATTCAGATACACGGGTGGGATATATGGCTCGTGTTACAGTGGGATAGTACGTCGCGTCCGAAGTGGTTAAATATTTCTTAGTTTACATTCACTTGCAAAAACACAACAGGCACTAATAAACGGGATTTAAATTTAGATATTTTATGGTTATGGAAAAGGTCATAAAAAGATTTTTAAAAAAAACGAAAAAAAAGCAAAAAAAAGAAAAAAAAATAAAAAAAAAAAGACAAAACAAAAATAGATAGGGAAGTTTGAGTGCGACTATTCTGATGATAATATGAACTGGTATGGTTATTAAAACAAAAAAAGGGGCGATTATTAAACGATCAAAAAAAAAAACGTTATTTATTAAGCCTTAGGCAGTAAATCGTATAGTGGTACTATAAAGTTTTTTAGAAAAAGTGGTACTATAAAGAAGTAGTTGATTTTGATCCTTTTTTTCTCGCCTAGCCATCTTATATTAAAGCTTCTGGATGAAATCGAAGAGCACTTGGGTGTAACAATACAGCAGATCGATACTGATTT